GATATATAGATACAAGCTAGATTGATCAGAGGGATCATATGCCTTTTCACTTCTTATAGAGAAACCACTCTTGTTGATTTTGTTTTTATTCTTATTTTCCTCTGGATTGTCTCCCATATGATTTTTTAAAATCTTTCATCTTTCTGATCTGAAATTGTTGATTTATGTTAGAAAGAACTTTCCTAATTTCTTGCGGAGCTAACTCTTAAGCCAGATTTTAGGTTTCTGCCCACACTCCACTGCCATGGATTCAAGTAGCCAGTTTGAGTCTTTGGTTTTTATACTTCAGCAGAAGCCCAGTCTCCTTGGCTCCTCTCATGAAACACTTCAAAAGCTGCTGTGGAGAACCCCTGATGAAGTTTCTCCATGATCCAGACTTATTTGTCTGTTCTTCCAACCTCCTAATTTTGTGCATTTAAATTTTTTCTAAAGGAATTAAATATACTTATTAAATTTGAACCCTCAAAATGCTTCTTTCTCAGGCCAAAAGAAATGTGGGTGAATTTTCAATATCATCTAAACATTAGCAAAATTATATTCCGCAGAACTCGTTGACTAACTCAAAGAACAGCAAAATGTTGTTCTTTCTGTCTCCCACACTAAGATTCCTCATGGCATTTAACATTCTATTAGTTCAAAGTTGTTGAAGCATTCTAAAATTTAGTATAAGTGCTTGAAAGAGTCTTGAGAAAAAATAATAGAAATACATTTCAATTGTTGTGATTTGGAAGAATATATCTTTCCTCCCCTGAGGGCTTAATGAATGCTGCAACTTTCCCCCTGATTTTTAAAAGTGCATTGACAGCTTTTCTAATGTTCCTTAATCAGCTTTAATTTCTTAGTGATTTCAGTTGGTAAAGTTACTGTATTTGGAAAAGATAAAAAGAATCATTTAGAAGGGTTTTTTCCCCCTCCTTTCTTTCATTCCATCTTTAAAATATAGCGCATGGAGAGTGATAATGTGCTCAGTTCCAATAGCTTTTGATATTCGCCCACCAAATTGTTCATTCGAGAGAAATACCAAAAAGGAAAGCATAAAAAAAATCTGGTTTTTTTTATCAAATTAAAACTTGACTTATTCTGCTTTGTTATGTAGGTGGGAACTACATTCAGCATGCAGAGAAGCAAGCTGAGGCCCGGAACAGTCTTCTCCACAGCATTTGCTCTGGAATACTAAGATGGTCCACTTCTGTTGTGCACGTGACTGAAACAGATGAACTGTGTTTGCTTCACCTGAGGAAATGACCTTCAGGTGAGACTGGTTGGCTTGGGTTGAGAAACAGTGAGCATAGGACCTGAAACAGTAAATGGTCCCTAGGCAGCCATTCCTTTCTCTACCAGGCTGCTCTGGCCCATTTCTGAACAAGGTGTCCTAAAAACAGAGATTTGTACCAGCTTTTAGGAACACACAAGCAATACACCATCCTCCTGCTTGAAGAAGTTTAAGGGAGTCAATCAATCTTCTACAATCTGTTTCCTTCTAAATGGTAACTGAGATGTCATAGTATAGGATCAATATTTGGAAATTTTTTCTCAAATAACTAAATTTGGTCAAGCTATATCTAATTTCAGATGACCCTTAGGCAGAGTTCCAAAAGAAAAAAAAAAATCTAAAGCAGTATCTGCTTCAAGACAGTGAAGCTGCAGCATCATGTCAGAGATCCCTATCTGAATTCTTCTCCTGCCATTAATTTACTTGGTACATACTTATTGAAGTCTACTGTCCTCCAGGCATGATAGTGAATAAGACAGCCATTGTCCTTGTCCTGTGGACTCTTGAGACTATTAAAAGAGTCAGATGGGGCCTCCCCAGTGGCGCAGTGGTTGAGCACTGGGTTGCGAAGCTGCCCGCAGCCTCTGCAGCGCCGGTTCAATCCCCGGGCTGGATCCCCGGCTGTTCCCCGACCACCGGAGGAGGATCCCACATGGTGCACAGACCTCTCCTGCCGCCCGCTGCTTCCCTCGGCAGTGTACTTCGGTCCCTCTGCCTGCTCTACTCCCCGCTCTGGCTCGGTGAATTCTCTCACCCTCCCAAGCTTCTGACTGTACCCAGTGCTTGTATAAATAAATAAAAATAAATCTTAAAATAAATAAATAAATAAAAAATAAAAGAGTCAGATGAACAAATAAGCAATTATGACACAGGATGATAAAAGTTATGATAAAAAATTAGAGGATTCAGACATCCTGGGAAGAACACTGTATTAGTGTCCTATGGCTGCTGTAACAAATTGTCACAACTTGGTCTTTTGACATAAACTTATTATTTCTAGAGGTCAGAAGGTGTCAGCAGGTCTATATTCCTTCTGGAGGTTCTTAGGAGAGAATCTATTTCCTTGCCTTTTTGGGTACTAGAGATACCTGCATTCCTTGGCCTGTGACTCCTTCCCATCTTCAAAGCCATCAATGGCCAATGGATTCTTTCTCATGTCATGTCTCTCTGACACTGACTCTCTTGCCTCCCTATTCCTCTTGCAAGGATCCTTACGATTATGTTGCTCCCAGTTGCATAGTCCAGGATAGTCTCTCCATCACAAGGCTGCCTGATCAACAATCTATATTCTATCTGCAACTTAAATTTCCCCTTTCCAGATGACATAACACATTCACAGGTTCTGGGGATAACTCTGCCTAACCTATGTGGAATGGGGATGGGGAAGATAAAGAGTGAGGGAAGAGTTATAAGAGCATTGACTTGTCAGATAAGGCTTGAAGTACTTATCTACTTGAAGATAAGTAGAATTTAGGCAAATAAAGGGAGGACTTATCAGGGCTAGGAGTGGGCTGCTCTTTTGACTATTGTAAAGAGCATAGGGAAAGAGAGAACATGTCCCAGGGGGAGATGTGAGAAAAAAACTGAATATGGCTTGAAACAAAAGTGTGACAGTAAGAAGATATTTAGCAAAAGCAAAGGCCAATGATTAAGTAGTTACGCCAGATCCAGTAAAAGATGCTAAGAGCTTAGGCATATGCTGCTGGAATCCAGGCAACTGGTATTAGGGAGAAGCATGAAGGTGCAGAGATGAGCCGAAGAATAACTGACACATTTGAGCGACGTGATGACTTGCCATGGATTGCCAATGGAGGGAGTCGCGGCTGCCCGAGGTTCAGATACACAATCGGGGAAGGTGGTTAACAGAACAGAAAATAAAAATTTAGTTGTAGAAGACTTGACTTGCAGGACAGACCCTCAATCCTTAGCAACCCTGCAAGGAGGAAGCACAGCACTCTGACAGGTACCCTCTTTTCACAAAGAATTAATTACAAATTGATGAGTGCTATGAAAAAGAAGTACAGAGTGCCAAGAAAGTACATATCACAAACCCTAAATATGACTGTGGGTCAGAAAAAAACTTTAAAAGAAGCATTTAAGCTGAGACCTGAACCATGAGCAAGATCTCAAGGTGAGGACAGGATGGTTGGGGGGGACTTCCAGGCAGACCAAAGGACCTATGGTGAGAAGCAGCATCTCTGTTCTGGAAACCAAAAGCCCAGTACTTTGAGAGAGCATAGGGGGAAGGAGAGTCTTACAAGTCAAGGGAGGCAGTGGGGGCACAATCACAGAGCCCTGTGGAGTTTATCATGGACTGAAAGTTTTGTCCTGAGAGCAGTGAGCTGCTACTCATAGTTAAAGCAGAAAGGTGGCATGATCAAATTATCCCTTTATATAGATCTGGCTGCAGTGTGGAGGGTAAATGGAAGGTAGCAAAAATATGAGAGAACACGGTGGTTGCTTGCACAATAATACTCTATACAACAAAACAGAAACAATGGCTGCTGCTGGATGAAAAAAATAACTACGGCAGATTCTGCTTTCAAGAGAAGTGATATAATTCATCCCTGGAAAGAAGCTGCTTTTTCTTTCTTCTTCTTCTTCTTTTTTTTTTTTTTTTTTTTTGAGAAGAATACTGTCATGGTGTAAGCTGTTTCGCTGTTTCCCTTGTTCCCTTGATGGAGTAAAGTTCAGTCCCTGGCCTAGATGGTCTGGGCTTGATATATGCTGTAAAATTTAAAAACAAAAATGCACTGTTACTGTGCATAATAAAGTGAGAACTTGGCTTTGTTGCAGACAACTTAAGAGAGGGGCTTGGGAGTGAGGAGAAAGGGTTATTGTTAGGAATAAAAGAAAGCGGACTCCAGGTAAAAAGCTGGAAGTTGGAGCTGCCATGGGGTGCTCATCCAAGAAAAAAATTCCATGAAGGGAGATGGCTGACAAGTCACTTGCTATGGTGTTATCTGTACCTGATGTTACGGTGGAAGTGTTTTTGGATCTTTACTTTCTGCAATGCCTCATATGAGCCTCAGGTTGTGTTGCTTTGCTAGGGTGGAGAACAGGGGCCATTCGGCCACACTGGGCCAGCACAGGCAGGGAGCCCCCAATGGTATGAATGGCCACAGCCAGGAATAAGCAACAAGTATAAGTCACAGACATACACTCAAACAGAAGCACATGCACGCTAGGAACACCCCAGAGAGCTTGGGGAGGATTCTGGGCTGGCCACAGTAAAGTTCAGGCATTTGATTTAGATAGTCATGTTAAGGTTGACCATTGGAAAGTTGAAGATGTGAAAACAGGGAGCATCTAGATTGTCATTGTTTATATTTGTGTTTTAAGCATCATGAAACTGCTTGAGAGCTGTTACTACTTAATATTCACTCTGAATCAAGAAAGTCTTGACAACATTTTTTAGAAATTTCCCATTGGGGTTAATTTTGCAGCTGTAACTAATAGCTTACTGAATAAACAAGACTAAAGTTTCCAGTGCTATATATTATATACAAATGAAATCTAATATTGTCTTTATCAGAAATACTCTCAGAATACAGCAATATGCTGCAGAAAGGCATGTTGTGACATCATTCTGCTGCTTTTCTAGAATATCCTGGCTAAAATGACCCCCAAAAAGTCTGATTTTTAAGAGTTAAGACTGTCACATCAGCAGCACCCCTCCGTGTTTTTGTTAAGTATAATCAAGACATAAGCCTCATGTCATGAGGACTTTATTACAACAAAACACAGGAAAACTTGCAACAAAACATTTCTATTCCAGGGACTTGCCCAGGAATTTTTTCAAAAATTTCTAGTTCTCTTGGATTTATAGAAGATTGCTTCTGCTTTTGCAGATTCACTGGTGGTAATGAAGCTATTAAGAGGCCAATTATTCTCCAAGAAATTTCACCAGCATCTGCAATAAAATATGAATATGAAAAGAAAAGAAATTTCAAAGTAGTTTGTGTGGAACATTTCAAAAAACCTACATTGTCATAGATAACCAGGTAAATCATAACAAAATCTTTAAATATTTTGAAATTTAGCTTGATAACTCTGAGAAAGGCAGTCTCTCCCTTTCTTTCTGCATTGTGTTAGGTATGATTTGCTATGAAGTCCATTCTCATGAGAAATATCAACTGGTAACTTCACTATGCTTCTGATCACCTCTGATTATTTAGGAATTTTTATAGTCAAGCTCAAAGACAAAGGAATATAAGTAGTCCTTTTCTGTGAAGACTGTCTTTCATTTTCCTTTAGTTATTTATATTTCAAAATGCTCATTTCAATAATGATGGAGATCACCATCAGAAAGCAGGTTTCCATGACATCCGTTCTGAAAAAGGCACAAATAAAATTTTTTGTAAGGTAATATTTTTACTTTTGCTATTCACTAACTTGACTTTATTCAAAGCAGAAACTCATGGACCAGTCAGCAATTGGCCTGCATAAACCAGGTGGGAAGGCAGGGTGTTTTCTGTGCCCAAACACTCAGGGAGAAATGAAAGACAAGAATTGCTCCATCCTCATTGCTGTTGTTCTAGAATATAAATTTGTATTTTGCTTGTTATCAGCAAGAATTTATTCTAAGGCCTCCCTGGTGGCGCAGGCGGTTGAGTGCCGCACTGTGAAGCTGTCTGCAGCCTCTGCAGCGCAGGTTTGATCCCGGCCAGCCAGTGAGAATCCCACATGGCGAAGCAGACCTCTCCTGTTTCGCCTGTTGCTCCCCTCAGCAGTGTATTTCCTCAGTCTGCCTGTTCTGTTCCCTGCTCAGTCTCTGATGAATCCTCTCACCCTCCGGCGCATCTGGCCTGTACCCCGGTTCTTGTATAAATAAATAAATCTTAAAAAAAAAAAGAATTTATTCTGTTATAGGATTTGTGAATTACAAGCTCTGTTTATATTCTTTTTAAATTAATAACAGCCCCCCAAAAATATTAACATTCAAGGAATTCTGTTTTCCAAGAAAACCATTGTTTATCACATAGTGCAGAGTTTTCTTAATCCTCGTATTTTCTTTCTGTAGTCAAAAGATTAGAGTTATCCCCTATGAGTTTCCTTTACACTTGTTTGGTTATGGAATTCTGGTGAAAGATTGTAGTACACAGTCTTATTTTTAAAAAGAAAAAAATGGGATCAAAATTATAATCAACTTACTTCATTTAATTATTTGATTATAATAACTAATAGGTATTTAACACTGCCAAGGCAATTCAACACCGTGCTAAGCACTGTCAATTCATTACCTCATTAGTTCTCACGTGATCGCAAAGCGCTCTGTATATCAATGGTACTCAAACTTGAATGTGCACAGAATCACATGAAGTACTTGCTAAAACCCTTGCTGCACTCTTTGAGTTTCTGACTCAGTAGGTCTAGACTGACTCAGCCAGGCCTGAGAACTTGCATTTTGAAGAGGTTCCCAAAGAACACTGGTACTCCTGGTATGTGGACCACACTTCAGAAGCCCGTGGTGGTGCAAGTTCAGTCTCAGCACTACGAAGCTATCTGCAGCCACTGCAGCACGAATTCAATCCCTGGCCAAGGAGCTAACCCACATGGTACATCAGCCCTCTCCTGCCTCGCCCGCTGCTCCCCTCAGCAGTATATTTCAATACACTATTTCAGTAGATCTGCCTGTTCTGCTCCCCACTCTGTCTCTGGTGAATCTTTTCACCCCCCGCACCTCTGGCCTACATCCCAGCTCTTGTATGCATAAATAAATAAAATAAATCTTAGAAAAATAAACATTTAAAAATGAATATTTTGGGACACCTAAAAATCATAGGAAAGTTAAATCTCATTTATCGCCACACTGCATGCTCAGTGGCGTCAGCGTTGTCTATGGCTGTTTTCACACTACAGTGGTGGAATTGACTAATTGTGAAAGAACCAATATGATTCATAAAGCCTAAAATATTAACTGACTAGCCCTTCACAGAAAAAAAATTTGCCAAGTCCTTTCATAGACGAAGCAGATCTTTCAGTTAGTAAGTGGTAGCATTAAGATGCCTATCCAGGGCCTCCCCGGTGGCGCAGCGGTTGAGCGCTGGGTTGCGAAGCTGCCCGCGGCCTCTCCGGCGCCAGTTCGATCCCCGGCTGCTCCCCGGCCACCCGAGGAGGGTCCCACATGGCGCGCAGACCTCTCCTGCCACTCGCTGCTCCCCTCAGCAGTGTACTTCTGCTCCCCGCTCTGGCTCTGGTGAATTCTCTCGCCCTCCCGCGCTTCTGACTGTACCCAGTGCATGTATAAACAAAAACAAACAAACAAATAAATGAATAAATAAATAAAACATGCCTCTATTAAAAAAAAAAAAAAAAAGATGCCTATCCAGATCAAAGTGGTAGCATTAAGATGCCTATCCTGGGCCTCCCCGGTGGCGCAGCGGTTGAGCGCTGGGTTGCGAAGCTGCCTGCAGCCTCTGCAGCCGGTTCGATCCCCGGCTGCTCCCCGGCCACCAGAGGAGGGTCCCACGTGGCGCGCAGACCTCTCCTGCCGCAGTGTACTTCGGTCCTTCTGCCTGCTCTGCTCCCCGCTCTGGCTCTGGTGAATTCTCTCACCCTCCCACGCTTCTGACTGTACCCAGTGCATGTATCAAACAAACAAACAATAAATAAATAAATAAATAAGACATGCCTCTAGAAAATTAAAAAAAAAAAAGATGCCTATCCTCAGCCATTTTTAGAAATGTTTAAATCTTCTGTTTTTTTCCTAATTTATTTATTTATGCATATAAGAACTGGGGTACAGGCCAGAGGTGTGGGGGGTCAGAGGATTCACCAGAAACAGAGTGGCGAGCAGAACGGGCATATCTACTGAGATACACTGCTGAAGGGAGCAGCAGGCGAGACGAGAGGTCTGCTGTGCCCTGTGGGTAGCCCCCTCGTGCTGCAGAGGCTGCAGATAGCTTCACAATGCGGTGGTGCTTAACCCCTTGTGCCACCAAGGAGGACCTAAATCTTCTATTTTTAAAGTAACTTGTTTGAGTTGGTGATGTTAACAACCTCTGGCACTATTTCATCAATTGTTCAGTAATTGCTTACGCATATTCTTTTTCCATCCTTACCAAATTCCATCTTCTTTCTCCATGATACTCCCATCCTTGTTCCATTAGCATTATATCTCTCTTTATAAACCAGAGGATTATTTGCAGAGAAAAGTTGTTTGATCACCTGAAGTTCTCTGCTTAGAGAACTCATTTTCTGCACACTTCTGATGAATGGAAGAGTATACATTTCATAACGGATCTCTTAGATTATTTCCATATTTCACAGTAATAACTTGTAATGGGAAAAGCAGAAAGGCTTCTGAAGTTCAGCCTAGATTATGTAGGAATAAAAAAATGAAGTAATAGTGATGACCTCATAGGCTCAAGCAACAGGGGTTGACTGATGTGGTTAAGTTCTTGGAAGACCGAGCAAAGTGGTATAATTCACAGGGATATCATCATCCACTGGAGCTAGAGTAATGGCAACAATCAGGGCTCCTAAACTATCACCCAGATCATTCAGCTTGAGGCTTTTTCCAAATTCACCATTTTAGATTTCTTTGTTTTTATTTTATTTTATTTATTTTTTTTTTTAATAGAGGCATGTTTTTATTTATTTATTTATTATATTTGTTTGTTTTGTTTATACATGCACTGGGTACAGTCAGAAGCGCGGGAGGGTGAGAGAATTCACCAGAGCCAGAGCGGGGAGCAGAGCAGGCAGAAGGACTGAAGTACACTGCTGAGGGGAGCAGCGGGTGGCAGGAGAGGTCTGCGCACCATGTGGGACCCTCCTCTGGTGGCCGGGGAGCAGCCGGGAATCGAACCGGCGCCGCAGAGGCCGCGGGCAGCTTCGCAACCCAGCGCTCAACCGCTGCACCACCGGGGAGGCCCTCTTTGTTTTTATTTTTCTTGGGGGAGAGGGATTCAAAGCATTATTTCACATGTATAAACAATGATTTGGGAAAATCTTAAAGTAGATTTGCAGGAAATATAAAAAGATCCAGTAAAGAAAAATGTGTGTAGGCATAAAGTACTTAGCTTTTTAAGAACATCATCAAATTTCTCCACTTTTTATCAAGATTATTTGACTGGCTCTGCTTAACTTCATCATCATAAATAAATCATCTTAACCGTAAATAATTCAAATGAGATGAACTTACACAAGAGAATCTGTAAGTAAACAGACGCTTGGGCCTATTTATATTTCTATTAAGTAGTAAAGACTTAATGAAATGGGAAATTTCTCTTTGCCAAGTAATTCATTGAAAGTCTTAATCAATTTCAAATAAAAACCTCACAGTTTAAGTCTAATTATATCACTTTCCATTTCAAGCATACTAATTATTAGCTCTTTTCTTAATTAATATTTTCACAATTACTACACTAATTATCTACAGATTTTTAAGGTGGTTTTTAAGAATATAAGTCCAAAAGAGACGATGTATTCCTACTGGTATTTAGGCTAGTTGCCAACTTGTCTCCCTTCTGACAATACTGGCTTTGAACCAGGAATAGAGAAAAGAACAGCTGATATTTAGAAAATAAAATTCATACTCCACCAATATTTTAAATAATAGCTACAAAAAGAAGAAATGAGGATTATTTTTTAATTCAATTTACCTTACCATATCTGGTTAGTGTTCTAGAGTTAATATTCTACTTCTTAAAATAAAAATCACCCAAAATCCTAATTTTTCACAAACTAAGAAATCTCACTAGCATTTTTTTTAAACACCCCGCGATGATTCTTTCTGTATCTAGCCAACATGATTATTAAAACACAAACACGAATGGCAAAATGTTGATGGTTATTTAAGCCGGGTGATGGATACATGGGAGTTTATTGAACTTTCTATTCTTAATTGTGTTTGGAAAATTTCATAATAAAAAGGTTTTTTTAAAAAGAAAAATACATAAACATAAGAGCTCATGTTTCTATAATGATGGAGCTATTAAAGAGATTCAATTAATTTCAAGTTCAATAAATCTCTAGAAGACCTAACTAATGGCATTGCTCAAACATTTGCCTCTGAAGTTCTTATTCTGAAAATGTTAATAAAAGAATTATTGAAGTTCAAGCCCAGAATACAGTTATTCAAGTTAAAATAGAGCTTAGACAAACATGTCATAATTTTTGAAAAACTGAAAGCTCTGATTCAATGCTAGTCTGTTTTGGATAAGTCATAATACTAAAGAATATTGAAACCTAATGAGAGAGAAAAAAAAATTTACCTGGCCAAATTTTACTGCCTCCCTAACAGCTTCCTTTTTAAAGTCTTCTAACTCTTGCTGCAATTTTTCATTGTGAACTTTCTCTCTTAAAGAGGTGAGCTGTAAAAGTAAA